TGTAGATGGACAAAACACAATGCCTTTATTTTTATGTGGTGCTGAGGACAGAACCTGGGTCCCGCCCGTGCTAGGCGAGTGCTCTACCACTGAGCCACAATCCAGCCCTCATCATCTAATCTTAAAATAAGATTACTCTGGACTATCCGGATGGGACAAGGGTCTTAGAAAGTGGAAGAGGGAATCAAAGGAGACAGTCTGCAGCATGAGAAAGACTCGGTCTGATTTTCCGGCTTTAATTTTTCTTGCTTGCCAAAGCATGCAGGCAAGAAAACCAGAAAAAGCAAGAAATGGATTCTCCCCTACCCTCCAGCAAAGGTGCAGACTCATGGATATCTTGATTTTAGCTCAGGAGACCTCCAGAGCTGTAAAATAAATTTGTGATGTTTTAAGCCCCTGGACTTGTGGTCATTTGTTATAGCATCAATAGGAAAAGGAGACAACGCCAAAGACTCTAGACTCAAAGAAATGAGTGCAATGGTGGGATGGTGGAGTTTCAGGACCTATGATGAGGATAGAGCACAAGAGCTCCAGAGGCAAACTGATTGGAGGTAGTGGAAAGACTGCTTTCTGAATGCCAGTTTCCTCGTCTGGAAATGGAATAAAGACAGTACTTCCAAAACCATAGTATTGTGAAATCCAGTAAGTTAGATAGGTAAAGTACATGGTACTAAGTAGATCAAATTCCTTTATCACCCATGCATCCTTTGTCACCTACCACGATTACAGTTTTTGTTGGTTATTAATCAATGTTAATCTCCCAGAATGAATGTGACTTCCATGAGAGGAGACACCCTATCTGCCTATTTTCACTTACCCCTGAGTCCCCAGCTCCTTGCACAATGCCTGGGATCACAGAAGGTAGTAAGGACCTATGAATTGTTGAATGACTCATTGTTATTCAATGTTATCCATGCTGGTGTTGAGGAGGACAGGATGCTGCTAACAGAGATAATTAGCTTTTAGAGTTTGTGGGGCAGAAATGTTCCTGGATATCACTTTGGCAGGGGATGCTCAGAGCAGAGGATGGAACTTTCTCACCTCCACCTGCCCACCATGACAATAACCCATCCCAGGTGTCTCAGAGGCCCTGGACCCTGACACCTTTCTTCCATGATTTCAGGCACAGACCTGGATGATATACTCAAAGATCAGGATCATGCTCCCCAGGGTGGTGATGTTGGCCATTGTTGAGAAGACAGACAGCACCTTGAGGTTCTGGATAAACACCAACATGATCAGGAAGGGCAGGATTGTCAGCATGTAGATACGAATGTCCAGGATGGGGGTCAGCACCAGGAACTTCCTGGGCTGGCAGGTGTTGGAGGTGACATGGACTTCTTCTACTATCTGAAAGAGAACACAGTGGAAGGTATGGCAGTTGAAGACAAAGCTCAGGATGTCCAGCTCCAGTGGAATTTCAGAAAATCACAAATAATGTTTTAGTATAAATACATTCCAAATAGCGCATAAGACATATCTATATCTATATATAGTAAAATATCTACATGAAAAAATACATGACACTCAGTTAAACTGGAATTTCAGATAAGTAGTGAAATATATATTTATATATAAATTATTTATATATTATAATTATTTGCATATATGTTCATATATAAATGTAAATAAAATGTATATATCCCTACTCATCCAAAATTCCAGTTTAACTGAATGTCATGTATTTTTTCATGTATGTGTGTGTGTGTGTGCGTGTGTGCAAAATGCATTCTAGTTTAACTGGGTGTTATGTATTTTTATTTACCAAATCCGTCAACATGAACCAGGAACTCTTAGAGTCATGAAACCTCAAGGTTGAAGGGTACTTTGTCAGCTAGCCCAACTTCTTCTTTCCCACCAAATGACTTTCTTTCATGCAGCCAGAGAAAGAAAATTTATCACACAAGCACATCCTCCTCAACCTTAGAGAGCCCTACAAGTCAGGAAGCTCTGGATATTGAGCAAAGCCTATCTGCTTGCAGAGTCTGTCTATAGGACTTGCCACAGTTCTTTGGGCTGTTAGGTACACTTCCTCTATTCCACAAGAGGCTGAGATTGACTTACAATATGTCTTAGGTAGGCAATAACAGGAAGTTAGCCACTGGTTTTCCTTATTTTCAGTTAGTCATTTTTTTTACATGACAACCTGAGATGGTACCTAATGTACCCATACTTTACCCATACTTTTCAGGCTAAAAATTTTTTCAAGTTGCTTTGGCTTCTTTATGATCCTTTTAGAATATGATTCTCAGGACTGAAAGAATTCCCAGTCATGATCTAATCCAGGAGTGGAAATGAAGCTGTCTCTTCCCATGACTTAAATACTCTGCTTTTGCTAATGTAGCCCTAGCAGCAGCAGGTCTGCTTTTCTCTCCCTTTGCCCAGAAGAGGCTTCTTCACCTGTTGTAAATTGTCTGCCATAAACATAAAATAAACACTGCAGAAGCCCAGCTGGGTGATGATCAATAAGAAGCTGACAGTGTACCTGGGAAAGAAAAAGAGGGAGATAGAGTGAGAAAACAAACATTCAAGTTATTATTTATTTATTTCGGAACTGGTGGTTGAACCCAGGGATGTTCTACCACTGAGCCACATCCCCAGCCCTTTTATTTATTTATTTATTTATTTATTTTGACACAGTGTCTCACTAAGTGCTTAGGGCCTTGCTAAGTTGCTGAGGCTGGTTTTGAATTTGCAATCCTCTTGCCTCAGCCTTCGGAGTCACTGGGATTACAGGCATGCACCACTGTGCTTGGCCTAAAATTATTTTTAAAGTGTTTATTTGGTGAAATAATTATTTTTGTGGATTTAGATTTTTTTCCCAATTTTTCTTGTTTTGAAAAATTTCAAGCCCTCAGGAAAAGTTCATAGAAGAATATGATTAGCATCCATATATATGTTGGCTAAATATATCAATTGTTAAGTTTTGGCCCCAAATCTTTTCATATGTGTACATACTCATCTGCACGCAAGTATATGCATGCACACATGCGCGTGTGTGCGTGCACACATACACATACACATTTTTTTTCAGAATCATTTGAAAGTCATTTGCAGATGCCATAACATTTTGACCCTACACACCTCAGCATATTTTCTTTAAGACTGATATCCTGAAAATGAATTTTAATATCTTCAAGTACATAGTCCCTATTTTAGATATCACAATTCTCTCCAAAATATCTTTTATGGCTGTTTTATTTTTATTTTTATTTATTTTTTTCATAGTGCAAACCCAGCACCTCACACATGCTAGGCAATTGCTCTACCACTGAACTACATCCCTGGCCCTATACATTGCATTTTATTAAAACTCTTCTGAAGTTTGTAAAATTGCTCTATTCTTCCTATCCTGCTTTTCCTTTCTCCTGCAGCTGTTCATTTTTTGGTTGTTTGATGTCAGACCCTGTGTCCTGTAGTAGATCTGTCTTCTAGACTCGGCTGAGGACTTCCTCGTGACATTTATCTGGTTTCTCTATCCCCTGTGCTTCCTATAAACTGATACCAGATCCAGTGACTCAATCAGATGAAGCTCCTTAATTTATTTTTCTGGCAAGAATATACATGCAGTGCCCCGTACACCTCGCTGTGATCCATGATGAGACACCGTGTCTGACTGTCCCACATCCACACAGGAGCTGAGTGGATCTATACTCAGTACTTGGGGTAGGTGGCATCTGTGCCTTCTTCTTGTATAAAATTCCCAACTGACTTTTTACCTGAATGGCTTGAGCATCCATTAATGATTGTCTACACAGTATGGGCAGTTTTTAATCAAGCTCCCTAGGTATCTCCTAGTACACTAAAAATTATGAATTATTGGTTGAACTAATATTTTCCCAAATGTTTCCAACTCCTTCTGGATCACTGGATTTCCAAAGAAATAGTACATGGAAACTAGATGAGTGTGAGGCTAGATATTCTGGATTCTAGTCCTTGCTCTGCTACTAATTTCCTGTGTGATCCTGAGCAACTTTATTGTCCCTCTCTGAGCTCCTTTATGCTCTGTCTTAACAGGTGTGAATCTAGTGATCTCTAAGGGCCATTCCTGCCCTAACTATCATTGAGGGTGTCATCAAAAACTGATCATGACCTCACCTTTCTGAAAATCAGAGTGATTATTTTAGGGGAGGTCAGTGACCTCCTGGGATGGTGGCAGCCACAATATTGACCCCACTACCTCCCAAAGGACTTTTCTGGAAAAGGTTGCAGTGTGAGGTTTTCAAGTCCCTACTCCACCATTACTCATGGTTGTGCCTTTGAATATGCTATTTTATCTCTATGAGCTTTGGTCACTTCATTTTTCCGGGACCCTGTCTACCTCACCAAGGTTGTTGGGATGATCAGAAAACCATTCTAACTTTTTTATCAAGCAAGGGGACAACCTAAAAATTCACCATTAGGGGAATGATCAAATGAAACTATGGTATATATCCACATTTGGGAGCCCTAAAAAATTATGAGGTGGATCTATATGTTCCAATGAGAAATAAATACAGACATACTATTAGATGAAAAAGCAAATTTCCAGAAAAGATTCCAAGTAATGTGCAAATTAATATGCCCATTCACATACATATATTGATGTAAACCTAGAGAAAGAAAAAGTCAAAGGGAATGTTTACTAACTAGATCTCAGGGACTACCTCTTGAGTAAAGAATTGGGTAGGGAATGGAGCTATTGAAGATATTTTCTATTGGTAGTTTCCCAAAAGAACATGTTCATTTATTTTATTTTATTTTATTTTTGTACCAGGGATTGAACCTGGGGGTGCTTAACCACTGAGTCACATCCCTAGCTCTTTTTATGTTTTATTTTAAGTGAGGGTCTCACTAAGTTGCTTAGGGCCTTGCTTAGTTGCTGAGGCTGGCCTTGAACTTGTGATCCTCCTGCCTCAGCCTCCCAAGCCACTGGTTATACAGGTGTGTGCCACCATGCCCGGCTAAGAACATATTCACTTAAAACTTTAAAGAGAAATAAAGAACAAAAAGATGAGGCTTGTGATGATTGTCATCTCACAGTTACTTCTACATCCACGACTACTACCTTCCCCACACCGAATGGGACCTCAGCCAGGGGCTGGGGCAGGTTTCCAGGCTGTACATTGTGGCCTCCCCATAGTTCACAAAAGTCGTCTGCAATCTAGGAGGAAAGGACAATGTGTAACTTAGAATGTTTCTGTTGGAGTTACAATTTGCTCCTCGAGTGAGTAATTATGATCTATTTGTATGTCAGCATAGAGCGCTCTGTTAATTTTCTGATAATCATATATTTTATACAACTTTCAGAGATTTGCTTTTTATTCTTTTTTCCTTTTGGCAGTTATCTTTTTAAGAACAGATCCTTAAGTGGATCCTAATGGATTTCTTTGTTTTGAATAAACAGTGGTTGATTTAGGTCTGCCATGCGGGAGAGAGGGGACATGGTCAGGGGAGGAGATGGGGAAGGAGGCAGAGCAGGTGTGGCCAGCCAGGGATGCGTCCTTTCTCGACTATTCTGTTCCTTCTCATTGCCCAGTTATCAGGACATTTGAGACGCCTACATGGACAGAGTCCCATGCACACACCACCCTCAGGCTCCTGCTCAGCAGGAGGATGTGATGGCCAGGTTCCAGCCTGTCCCTTTTCCCTTTCTCAGGGTGGGACAGGCCCTGCTGTAGGACTGTCCTGGTCCTGGAGAGGAGCAGGTGGGAGCAGCAGCAGGTTGCTGAGATCCTGGATACACAGCATTCATTTCAGGACTGCTAGGACAGAGACAGGGCTCTAGGCTTAACAGGAAATGGGGTAAATGCCATTCCCTCATGAGCTGGAGACCTTGAGCAAGTCTAATCTCTTCTGACTTCTGGGGTTCAGCTTTTCCACATGCAGACTAGGCTTTGAGCAGGAGACAGTGAGAGATGGCTATCAGGATGTGTTGGAAACACACTTTTATTATTTATTGTTATTATCAGATATTGTTATTTCTGATATTTAGTGAGATTGGCATTCATGCACAAATGGGTTCAGTTTGCAGAGGTCTGTTAAATATGAGTCTGAAGGTTGGGGATCAGACAGGGATTAGTGATTCGGTAGATGACATAGGATGTAAGAATAGGGAGTAGTGAGGTCAGTGGCTACACGGCAAGTTCTCAACAGGATCAACTGGGACTCGACTCCAGAAGGACAAGGAAGGAATGAAGTCCCGGAAGTACCAGGTCATCTGACTAATGAGAAGAAAGCAGATGAGTTTCTTGTTATTTTTTTTTCTTAAATATGAAATCTCTAAATTTTTAAACATTGGCTTAGAAAAGAAAAACTGTGAAAGCACCCCAAAAATATATCTGAAGGCTACAGCTAGCACTTAGGCCACCCTTCTGGGGGCCTCTGCATTAAAGAAAAATGGAAGAGACATCATCGAGAAAAAGTCAGAAGCCTACCTGGGGGCATAATGACCCAGGAAGCTCAAGACCACATGGTTAAGAATGGAGTCAGACAGGCCTTCCAACACTGGCTCTGCTCCCCGCTGGTTGTGCGGCCCTGGGCAAGGCATCTAAGCCTCAATTTACTTATCCATAAAATGGGAATAAAAATAAGGCCTACTCTAGAGATTTACTATAAGAAGTAAAGCTTTGGATTTGAACACTCTGCAGATCTCAGCATTATTTTTTTTTTCGTGACTATTGTCTTTTCTTTCTGAAGTCGTTTTTGCATTCATTTCAAACACATACACCTTGACACACTATGTGCTTTCAATAACTGAAGTTGTTGTACCCTTTGCATTCCGTGGCTAATTAGGTCTTTGCGTCTACTGGCTTGTCTTTACAGGGGTTCTCCTGGAACAAATTACCCTGATGAGGGTTTAGTATTGGGGTGGGGAGATTAAAAGGAACAGAAAGACGTCGGTGTGTCTTGCCTCACGTGGTTGTTGTCAAGTGCTCTACCATCTTTTATCACTTTTAATGTACCCAGGTGAGGGGATTTGGGCTCAGAGGGGTACAGGAAACTGACCAAGCCTTCCAGCTAGCCGGCAGCAGAGTTGGGTCTCTTCTTTGGATTCTTTCCCACCCTCCACCACTTCTGTTGGATCCAGAGCAGCTTGGTGGCCTGGAGAAGTGGCCTAATTATTGGTTCAGTGATCAAAGGAAACTCAACCCCCCAGTGGATGGGGCCTGGTGCTGGGGTGAGAGAGGAGCAGCACCCACCTCTGAGAGAGGTGGTGAGCGCAGTTCAGCAAGATGACCATGCAGTGCACTGTGAGGATTCCGATGGCCAGCAGGCTGATGGGCCCAACCTGAAGGGAGAGGAGAGGCCCCGGGTGGTGATTGATGGGCAAACTGGCCACGCCCACACCCTGGCCCTCTCTCAGTTTGGGCACTAGGGCTCCTTGCCAGGGTGGGAGACAGTGCATGGATGTCCTTGTCCCCTGGATGCTGTGCTTTGAATGTCCCTCCTGGTACCGCTACAAAGTGGCTGCTAGGATTCTACCTGTGACCCAGATCTCACCACTCTCCATACACCCCAGGCCTTTCTCATCTGCCTCCAGTTTCACCCTGCTGTAGTCTCTTACGATGATTTCAACCTTTTACACAGCCTAGCCCTCACAAGTTCCTTTTGTGACTTAATTCTTTTCCTCTAGTAGAGAGGTTATCAACAAGGGCCCTATTGACATTTGGGGGCAGATGACTGTTTTAAGGATCTGTCCAGTGCATTGTAGGATATTGACCAGCATCCTGAGCCTCTACCCATTAGGTGTCAGTGACAGTTACAGGTTGTAACAACCAAAAATGTCTAGGTGACAAATATGAGGGTGGGGATGCACAAAATATCCCCATTTGAAAATTGTTGCTCTACTGTGTCTAATTTGTCAATATTCCAGATGGAAGATCATAATCTTCCAGATCTGATCAGAAGGGCAGAAGGTAATGAAGGACTCTCTCACCTCCTTTATTCTGGATACTCCTGCCTTTATTGATGAGATAACATTATCTGTCATAAAGAAACAAGTGAGGGGTAAAGAGCATCACTAGTCTACAGCAGAATGTAGCCTGAATGTGGCAGAAACTTTCTTGTCTTGTTCATTTTTGTATTCCTGGGGCCTAAGAATACACATAGTAGCTCTCAATAAACATTTCTCAACTGGATCCTGGTAAGGAGTTCTGGGCAGGGAGACAGAGAATAAAGAAATCATCCAACTCTTCTTAGTAGGCAAAACTCAACAATATAAAAGAGCCATCTTAAAAAGCATATACCACACTGGCAAGGACACTTTTGCTGAAGGTTCTGTGGTCCTGCTACTCTTCTGCAGATGACTGAGAAGCCAGAGGATCCCAAGGGGGAGAGTTCCACCTCTGAGTTGGAACCCCTACATATCAGAAGTTATATGAGGAAGTAAGGGTCTCACTGTGCCTTCTTCAGCCATGAGGCCACTTACCAGGCCTGGAGAGAAGGGAAATCTCCCTGAAACTAAATGGATATGACCTATTTGGTATCAATTCAATTCAATAGGCATTAATCGGGGCTTCCTGTATGACACAGTGGGGACTGAGAGAAGGTCTAAAGGGAAATCAGACAGTTCTTGCCCTCAGAGCCTTCCGTTAGGTGCAGGAGATAGGTCTATTAAAAAATAAATATGTCCTAATGTATGAAATATGATATGTCAAGAGCTTTGTAATGTTTTGAACGACCAATAAAAATAAATAAATAAATAAATAAATATGTCTCACCTTTAAAAATTCCAGGTGAGGCAGATACATGTGTAGCAGGAAAGGAGGTAAGGCAGTATTGATATTCAGGAGAGCATCATTAATATTCATAAGGAAAGTATTAATATTCATGAGGACTGTATTAATATTCATGTAAACAGGACAGTTTTAGAAAGGAGGCAAATTTCCAAAGTCAGAAACAAGAGGTCAAGGAGTGCAAGGCAGTGTGGGCAGTGGGAGACATCCTTGCCCTCATGGCCAAGCCACTTTCTCCTATACCATTCAAATGGTTTGAAACAGAAGTCACACACTCAGATGCCTGCAGGGCCCTGGCTGCTGGTGAGATATACTCCTGGGGACTGGGAAGACAGGGGCAATGTGGGGTCTGAATGAGTGTGGCAGCACCTTATGAGTAGCGTTCCTTCCCCTCCAGGGGTGCTCAGTTTGGCTCCAGGAGATTGATAGGTGCATTTCCTGTTATAGAGCACACCCCCAGATCATTCACTGATGAACTGTGCAGTAGCCTTAGAGGTACATGTCCCCTTTGCCCCCAGGGACCAACGATGTCTCTTACCAGTAAGCCGGCATTTTTTATGGCCAGGGGAAGCCCCAGGAGCCCAGTGCCAACATTGCATTTCAACAGGTGGACGAAGGTTTGCAACAGCCTGTGGTGGGGAAGGAGGGAGAAAAGAGAGAGTGTCAGGGGAAGGGAAGGGTGGCCCAGCTCAGCCTCTGCCCAGCATTCCCGGGGTGCCAGTTGAGAAGAGGACAACCCACAGCTCAGTGATATCTCAGATCCAGAGCTGGTGCTAGCTCAGGTGGCTCAACACACACTAGGCTTTAAAGAAAAAAATGACCCCAAATTGCTGTCATTCTGGAGAACATTCTGTTATTGAGATCTACTATACATCTAGCACCTAGACAGACAAGAATTCGTAAAAACGGCCTCTATTTACAGAATATTTATTGCACCAGGTAATTTTTAACTCATTTACTAGAAAAAAAAGCACAATAATTCTCTAAGCACATAGGGGTGACTGCCACCACCTGTAAACTGATTCTAGTTTGTTCATTCCTTGATCCATTGAGTCAACTAATATTCACTGTTAAAATTAATTGAAATTTATATATCCACATATTGCTACATAATACATCCATGCTACATATTGGATATGGATAATTTTGTTTTTGTGGTGCTAGGAATCAAACCCAGGGCCTTGCACTTGCTAGGTGAGCCCTTAACCACTGAACTCCCAGTACAGATGTGGATAAACTTTAATATCAATTACTACTGTGCTTACAGAGTATTTACCAGGTGCTAGCAAGGCGCCAAGGTTGTAAATGTTCTTGACATCTGTGCTCAGGGCTCCTGCCCAGGCAGCTCCAATCCTAATATGGATCAGGGTAGAGGTGGGAAGAGGAACATGAGAACGGAATCAAAACCAAACTTAAGTAGGAAGTGAGTGCCAGGTATGATGGCACATTCTTGTAATCCCAGAGACTGGGGAGGCTGAGGCAGAAGGATCAGAAGTTTGAGACCAGCTTTAGCAACTTAGCAAGGCCCCAAGCAACTCAGGGAGACCCTGTCTCAAAATAAAACATAAAAAGGGCTGTGTATGTGTCTCAATGATTAAGAGCCCCAGAGTTTAATCCTTGATGCCAAAAAAAAAAAAAAAAAAAGTGGGAAATGAGTACAAGAGCACTGAATTGAGAGGCAGGAGGCCTGGGCTCTGAGTTCTGCTGTGACGTCCACCTACTGTGTTTAGTTACTAGTTTGGAAGCCCCTTAGCTGCAGAAATCCCCTGTTTTCTTATCTGCCTATGTGCCAGGAGCGCTGTAAGAACCAGAAGAGTGACCTGATGGATCTTGGAATCCTGAAGCGCTTTACAGGGGTGACCGCCACCACCCTGGACAGTGCTTACTTGTCAGCAAGGGCCTCCTTCAAGAGGAAGCAGAGCTGAGCTAATAGAAAAAAGAAAACAGGTCTGTTTTAAGCAGACAGAGGTATCCCTTTGACCTGGTATGAGAGGGCACCTGGAGGAGGCCATCAGAAGAGCAGAGAGAAACCACCCAAGGTCACACAGTGCTCATGATTCCTGGATTCTGTCCCATCTATTAGGGAGCCCAGGCAAAGGGCTATGAGGTCTCTGTACAGGTTTGCCATACCAACCTGGGAGGGGGTGGGGTGAGAACAGAGCCTCTCTGACTTCCTGCATTTTTGTTAATCAGTCTGTGTACCTAAGAACAGGGTCATCTCGTCCCTTCACTCCAAGAGGTAACTTTTATTTCTCCATAACAGCGATTATTGGAAAATATGTCAAAGCTGTATATAGTTTTTTTCTCTTTTGTCAATTCCATTGTAATTTTTCCAAAATATGTGCACTTTCTCCCAGTTCCTGCCCTCCTCCCTCCATCTCTTCCCTGTTCCTGTGACAGATGGCATCTTGCCCCACTTAAACCTGGGAAAGGTGAGACATTTTGGAGAAACCATTGCACCTTAGCCAACAGCAGTACACATCAAGACTTTGGAGAGTAAACTTGGGTCGGGTTGGAAGCTTCCCTGGAACATTTTTTTAAAAATACACTTTATATGTTTTATTGAAAAATAATGTCTTGCCATTATAAAAGGAACTTCCCAAATCCCACCAATTGAAAATAACCATTCATAATGATGAGCCTTCCTCTAGGCACCCCTACTTGCTTCAAAGTACACAGATTTTTACAAGGAGAACTTACTGGATCCTAAAATACTTTTCTCTGTGAATATTACATGCTACACATTTTTTCATGTCTAGAGATCTCCTCCATAACTTGTAATGACTGTATTATATTCTATTATATGTTTACACCATACTTTAACCATTTTTTTTGATATACCGGGGATTTAACTTGGGGGCACTGGAACACTGAGCCCCCATCCCCAGTCCTATTTTTGTACTTTTTATTTAGAGACAGGGTCTCACTGAGTTGCTTAGTACCTCGCTGTTGCTGAGGCTGGATTTGAACTCATGATTCTCCTGCCCCTGCCTCCCAAGTCACTGGGATTATAGGCATGCACCACCTTGCCTGGCATTTTAACCATTCTTATTGTTTCTGGATTTTCAATATTGTAATCATTGCTTCAATAAAAATGGTCATGAATACTGTCTGTGATTTCATTAGAAAAAAATTCTAGAAGTGATATTGTCGATTAATTATATTTATGAAAAAGCTAGGTAGTAACCCAAAAAGTAATTCAAAAGTTAAAACAAAATAAATTACAATAAAAACCTGTATAATAAATATGAAGCGCTCTCCTATCTCTGTCTCTCAGTCTCCCGATTCTCTTCCTCAGAGACAGCTACTGCTGCCAGTTATGTGTGTACATGTGTGTAGTCACATGTGTGTACTTTCAAAGACGGGATATGTCAAGAAAGTACTTGTGTATTTTATACAGATAGCATTTTAAAATCTAACATAAAACATTGCCATCTAAAAAAGCACCAATTTAATTCTCCCTAAAAGACATGGTATTCTAATCAATGCTGGTTCTTATCACTTAACAGTATCATTATAGCTCATGGTTATTATCTGATCTGGTTACAAGATAATAGTCTGATTAGCAATAAAAGTCTTAGAGAAAAATTCCCTGTGTCTGAGTTTGAGGTAGGACATATTTACTGTGAGATCTAGGGGGCAGGGGAGAGAGAAAGAGAGAGAGATGGCAGGGATTTTGAGGAGAGGAAAGCAACCTTGAACTGGAGAAGAAAAAAGAGCCTCCAGCCCAAGACAGGAAATTGTTCCTGGAATCCAGCAGTTCACCTTGGGGATGGCTCTTCTATCTGGATTCTTTTGCAAAGATTGGGAAGTTGGCGTGATCCCCAGAACTATGGGGTCAGCTTTCTTAGGTTCTACAGGTTTCCTCTTTCACCTAGACACCCCTGTTCCAGGAGCATGGGTGTGTAAAGGAGAGAAAAGTAGGAGAATTTGGTCCAGAGCTGCCAAAAAGCAGCATTGCCCTAAGGTCTGGAAGGGGGTGTGGCCACTTACGATAGAGCGTTGTCTTCCTCAGCAGGAGGGGCATTTTCTGGGGTCAAGCTGCTGCTGCTGTTGCTGCTGCTGCTCTTCGAGGGGGACTTAGACCCATTGTCCAAGTTCAGCTCATTGTTATAGTCCTTTCCAAGCAGTGACTTCTTCAACATGGTGGCTAGGTGGCAGAGCCTCAGGGGGTCTAGTCCTAGTACAGTCTTGAATAGGCCTCTGATGGGTCTTTCTCTGGAGAAGCCATAGCTACAGACCTGAGATGCTGGCTCCCAATTCCCAAGGGAGCCTGGCCCTGGCTAAAGACTGAGCGTGTGAGTCAGGGAAGCAGTGGCGGAGAAGCCCCACCTGGCTCTTGGGAGATTTATAAGAGCCCCATCTCGGGATGATGCTCAGTCCTCTTGCAGTTGCTTGGATACCTGCCAGGAATCTTGCCTGGGCTTTTGGCCTCTCCCAGTTTAGCCCTCACGGCTGTCGGGCAAAGTGAACAAGGTGACAAGGAGGAAGAAGGTACCATTTGACTGGAGGTTCTGGTGCCTGGATGTGGACCCAGACTCAGTGCATAGCTCTCTGGCTAGGAAGAAAACAGAGTTACCTCACAATGGAGGCTGTCTGGCCAATAAGCTGCTGCAGAATCCCAGGATGCAGGATGGTCCTGTATAGCATCATCTAAGACCACCTTCTCTGGGTAAAAATGAAGAGTGGCTTATAAGGTCCAATCAAATGGCAGTTGCTCAGAATTTCTAAACAGGAGGAATGTATGGACTTCCACCTATCTGGAAGGAAGTGTAAATCAACTTTTAAAAAATTATTTATTCCAAAAATATTTATTGAGTACCTAATATATACTAGTAACTGGGTAGAAAACCTACAACAGTTTTTTCACATGAGACTGGGAGAGACAGTCAATAAACAGAAAAGCATGTCGAGAATATGTTAGCTGCTAAAAGAAAAATTATGCAGAAAAGCTGAATGAGGAGTAGGGGGAGGGTTGCAATTTTAGACTGGGTAGTGGTATGCTTCAAATCTTAAATGTCCCCCAAAGCCTGGTCCCCAGCTGGTGTTCCATTGGGAGCTAGTGGAGCCTTTGAGAGGTTGGGCCTGGTAAAAGGAAGTGAGGTCACAGGGGCACCTTTGAAAGGGAAGGTGTGCCCTCCCCCTCTCTTTCTGTCCCAAGGAGAGCAGCTTTGCTGTACCATGTGTTCCTATCACAGGCCCCAAATTCGTGCCTCACCTCAGGCCCCAAATGACGGAGCCAACTAACCATGGTGCTCTGAAACTGTGAGCTAAAATAAAATCTTTCCTCTTTTTAGGTTGATTATCTCAGGTATTTTTGTCACAGCAATGAAATGCTAACTCAGAAAAAAATGGGTACTGAGAGGCAGGGTTGTTGCTGTGACTATACCTGACAGTGAGCTTCAGAAGCCTTTGGAAATGGTTTGGAGAAGTCTGGAATAGTTTGGAGAAGCAGACTAGAGAAACCCTAGACTGTTGTAAGTGGACCTTAATGGGCGATTCTGGTGGACACTCAGAAGACATACTGTGTTGACATAAAATAATGACTCTATGTTAACAGGAATAAGAAAATAGTATGTTCCAAACCACACATGAGTGGCCATGTCCCTCAAAACATAGATTCAAGTTAATCTGAATGATATGTCCCACTGTGGAACAAGTTACATGAGCTTTCATAGTCACAGAATGAAAGTAAGTCATAAATCAATACATTTACCAGTTACATTGATGAGAAAATCAGGTCGGTGGGTTATAGCAAGGCGGGGAAGCCTCTTCTACAGGTTTCAGATGTTACAGCATTCTAGCTTTAGGGTAGGTGGAGGCTAGAGGTCTCCTAGGCCATTCTGAGAAGTTATTGTGACCTATTAGTCACAAGAATGTTAGGTCAGATACAGAGTTAATGTAATTGACTATAAAGGGTCTGAGATAGCCCAAGATAATTTTGGCTCTTGACTTCCAACTTTCCAGTTCTCCACAATCACAATGATCTTGTCATCCAAGGTCAGGCAGTGGTAAAATAAACAAAATTTATCATCCTAACCATTTTGAAAAATTTTTTTAAAAATCTCATTTCTATTGTATTATTATTATTATCATTATTATTTGCAGCACTGGGGATTAAATCCAGGAGAGTTCTACCACTGACCTACATTGCCAGCTCTTTTATTATATTTTGAGATAAGCTCTTGCTAAGTTGTTGAGGCTGGCCCTGAACTTGTGATCCTTCTGCCTCAACCTCCCAAGTTCCAGGCATGCGCTAACACACATGGTGCATTGTAAGCAGTTTTAAGTGTGCCGTTCAGTAGTGTGCAGTATACACCCACACTTCTGGGCAACCAATCTCCAGATTTCTTTTCATCCTGCAAAGCTGAAACCTATACTCAGACAAATTCTCCATTCCCCTCTCTTCCTATGCCTGGAAGATTATAAATCCTATGTCTCTAGGTACCTCAGTAAGGGGAATTATATAGTGTATTTCCATTTGTGACAGGCTTCTTTCATACCATAATGTCCTCAAGGTTTATCCATGAGGCACCCTTTGTCAGAATTTCCATGATTTTTAAGACTGAATAATATTCTATTGTGTATGTATATACCCATTTTGTTTTTGTATTTATCTGTTCATAGACATTTGGGTTTTTATCCACTTATAGGCTATTATGAATCATGCTGCTATAAATATAAAGGATCAATATTTCTTCAACATTACATAACTGTCCCACTTAAAATATACTACAAAAATCTTCGTGTCACTAAATTAAGAAATAATTTTTAATGGTTGGAGAATGTTTTGTTCATAAAGTTGGATTGATTGAGGTATAATCTTTATCCAGAAAAACTCACTTTTTTAAAGTGTGCAGTTCAATGAGATCTGACTAAGTGCACAGTCTTGTAACTTACACCACGATCTACAGAACACTCCTAAAATCTTTCTTTTATTTCCAGTGCTCCTACAACATCTGGCCCCTGGCAACCATCACTGTGTTCCATCCTGACAGTTTATTTTTTTATGTTTTTTTATTGATTTTATTTTTTTAATACATGACAGTGGAATACATTACAATTCTTATTACACATATGAAGCACAATTTTTCATATCTCTGTTTGTACATAAAGTATGTTCACAACAATTCATGTCTTCATATATGTACTTTGGATAGTGATGTCCCTCACATTCCACCATCCTTGATAACCCCCTGTCCCCTTTCTTTCCCTCCCACCTCTCTGCCCTATCTAGAGTTCATCTATTCCTCCCATGCTCCCCCTCCCTACCCCATTATCAGTCACCTTATATCAGAGAAAACATTCCGCATTTGTTTTTTGGGGATTGGATAACTTCACTTAGCATTATTTTCTCCAACTGCATCCATTTACCTGCAAATGCCATGATTTTATTCTCTTTTGTTGCTGAGTAATATTCCATTGTGTATATATGCTACATTTTTAAAATTCATTCATCTACTGAGGGGCATCTAGGTTGGTCCCACAGTTTAGCTATTGTGAATTGTGCTGATATAAACATTGCTATAAACTGTGTCCCTATAGTATTCTGTTTTTAAGGCCTTTGGATATAGACCGAGGAGAGGGAGAGCTGGGTCAAATGGTGGTTCCATTCCCAGTTTTCCAAGGAATCTCTATACTGCTTTCCATATTGGCTGCACCAATTTGCAGTCTGACAGTTTAAACTTTTCCAGAATTTTTTGTAAATGAAATCATATAATATGTAAGCTTTTAAGTGTGGTGTCTTTCATTCGGCCTAATGCTTTTGAGATTTATCCATGTTGCTGAGAACATCAGTATTTTTATTGCTTCTTATAGCTGAGTAATATCCCATTGTATGGATGTGCCACAATGTGCTTATTTGTTCACTTATTGGACATTTGGAGTATTTGTAGATTTGAGTGATTATGAATAAAGCTTCTAAAACATTCACATATAGGACTTTGTGTGGTCAAAACCTCTCTTATCTGGTGAAGATTTAGGAGTGGTCATGCTTGGTCATATATATGCATTTTAAGTTTTTTACAAACTGCCAAAGTGGCTATACCATTCTGCATTGCTATTATCAATTTTTAAGAGTTCTAGTTGTTCCTGCCATAGGCTTTTCTTTTTAATAAATCCCTTACTACTGAATATGTAAGACATTTCCAGTTTTTTTATTGTAGAGACAATGTATGATGCCTTATAAATATGCCTTTGAGCATTTATCTGATTATTGCTTAGGGTGAAATATTAGTAGTTAAGTCCAATAATATTCTTATTTTCAATCCTGATTCATATTTCCCTCCATAAAAGCTTGGTGCCAAATATACTATTATCAAAGGAAAAGAGTGTCAATTTTTCCACATCCTTGAAAATAATAGTTTTTATTAATGTTTTAAATATTTCGAAATAGGATAAGTAAAAATGGCTCATTGTTGCTGAAATTTTTAATTCTATGGTTACTACTGAAGGTACACCCTTATGTAACCTGGACATTTCTATTTTTTTTTTCTTATAAATTGCCTGCTTGTGTTTTTTTTGTCCCTTTTTCTATTTTTAAAGAGGGAGGTTATGAAGAAGTGTGTGTGTGTGTGTTTGCGTGTGTTTGCATTTGGTTATTTGTCTTCATATAGTCTGAAAATATTTATTTATATTAGAAATAATCATTTATCATTGTCTATGCTTTTTCTTAAATTTTTAAATGTGTTTGAGTCTAATTTCTTAATCTTTTTTCACTTTGGTTTCATATTGAAAGGATTTACTACATCAAACTTGTAAAATGTTTTCAGTTATGTCATTTTAGAATGATCATTAAAAATTTTATTTTAAATAAGCATCGCCTGCTTATCCACAATTTCAGTTACTCGTGGTCAACTGTGATCTGAAAATATGAATAGAAAATTCCAGAAATAATTCATAAGTTTTAAATTGCCAATCTGAGTAATTGGATGAAATCTTGAGCCATCCTGCCCAGGAAATTAATCATCCCTTTGTTAAGTATAGCCACATTCTGTTAGTACCTGCTCCATGTCAGTTGAGGAAGACAGAGGGAGAGAGTGCTTGTAACCATAAGAGCAAACACATTTACATGACTTCTATTGCAATATATTATAATCATTCTATTTTATTGTTAGCTATTGTTGTTAACCTCTTACTGTGTCTAATTCATAAATTGAACTTTATCATAGATATGTATGGGGTAATCCAGTATATATAGGGTTCAGTACTGTTTGAGGTTTCAGGCATAACTGGGGGTCTTGGAACATCTTCCCCACAAGTAAGGGAAGAGTATTGTATTTAACTTTTAACCATTATTAGAATCCTGGTTCTGACACTTATAGTTTGTCCAAATCTTTTAATCTCTTGGTGTCTTTCCTCATCTATGAAATGACTATAATAGTAAAACCAATATCAGATAATTTTTGGAAGACTGAATGAGTTAATAATACACATATAGCATTTCAATAGAACTTAGCTTCCAATAAGTGTTATTATTATGGCCATTAATCCATTTTCCAGATGGCTAACTAGTTTTCCCCCATGCCATTTATTGAATTATCTGTATTTCCTATTTTATTGAAAGCTTTTTCTTGTGATTTCTTGCTAATTGGTCTTGAGGGGTCTCTGCTGAGTGGTTGAAATCCAAGATGGCTATCATTCCCTAGGTGAGCCCTGATGCAGGACAGGTAGGTTCAGGTGTGTCATCGGCCCTTTAGTAAACATCACTTATCACAGGAGACAGCAAAACGAAACAGAAGCAGTTTTTAATTTGCCTACAAATTCCAAAGAGAAGAAGACAGCATGCCTTACAGAGCCAATGGGAATGGAGGAGCCATTTGGAACATGCACGCTTGACCTGTGAGTGGAGAGCAGGAATGAGAGAGAAATAGAGGGCTGGGAAGTTCTAATTGGTGGATTTAAAGCAAGCAGACAGGAGCTCTAGGATGATGGTTAGTATGTGGGAAAGAGAATGATTTGCTTTGTTCTCACCCTTTCACGGATCCCTTTTATATCTAACACCTTGCAGGAGAAAAAAAAATTCTGTGACCCTTGTCCCAACAGCATGCTTCAAAAGTTAAGTAATCTGAGGTAAAATGAGGTGAGGGGAAAGTCATGCAGGAAGTCACACAAACATTACCAAAAAACTTTAATACAATGCTACCACTTAAATACAATGCCCACATTGTTTGGTGTTACTGACAATTACTAAGGAGTCTCCCTAGCTTGCTTTTATAAGTTATATTAATGTTGCTCAATTCATTTTTGTTTTTCAAGGTTTAACTGTAGTCAGTTTGGTCTAAATACTAACACTGACCTGATCTTCTTACTGAGTAGGGGCTTGTCCTGGGCAGAACAAAGGTGAACTTGAGAGGTGGGGTAATAGTGAAGCAGGGTGGGAGAAAAATGTTTAAGGAGAGGAAAACCATGTTGCTGGGACTCTGAACTAAGTCGTGGAAGTCCTTTGGGTTTGCTAATGAGATTGAGAGCCCAGGGTGGAAAAGATGACCCCAGACTGAAAAAGTAGAGTGTGGCCACTGTGCAGCCTATGAGTATCCCATCTCCCAGCAAGGACCCTGCAGACTCTGGGTATGGATGGCCAGCCTTTCCTTCTTCTGAGTGGGACTTGTGTTTCTGAAGTACCTTCTAGAAATCCAGCAGGTAGAAAGTAACACAAAAAATAGCAGACCAAATCTTGGGAATTGGGGTCACCCCTCTTCTCCTCCCCTTCACATCTTCCCTGTGCTGCATAGAGATGATGGAAGGAAATAAGGGGGAAGGGCTCTTCAAATGTTCTTTTAATGCCAAGCTGAAAGAAGCATGGATCACCCCACGAACCAAAGAGCATGCTGAGAATCCCCAGGACTGCCTTCCACATCTGCTCAGCTACCTAAGAGCATTTCCCCAAGTTCAGTAATGGGAGTGGGGAGCAGTCACCACCAGGAAGGTTGAGTGGTGTCTCAGGTTGACAAGTCTCTGCCAGCCAAGGACAGACTGGAGAACAGACTCTGTTATGGCAAGTGACAAGTGACAAGGGTATCAGACCCATGTTCTACTCCAAACCCAACTTCCAATGGTAATAACCTGGGCAAAGTCCTTCCTGGTTCCCCAGAGCAATGAGTGTCCTTTAAGGACCTATGATGGTGCTACTCTTCCCCAGTAGATAGTAGACTGGTTCCATGAGAGGGGGGATTCTTTTTGGATTCATCAGTGTGTCCCCTTTAGTAAACATCACTTATCAGTCAACTTTTGCTGCATAAAACCCCCACACCTTATGAATTCAAACCACAAACATTTATTATTTCTTACAATGCTGTTGGTCACCTGTACAATTTATTTTCTGTTTTTGTTTTGTTTTGTTTTGTGCTGGGATGGAACCCAGGGCCTTGCTCATGCTTAAACCTGTGCTATACCACTGAGCTACACCTCTAGCCCCTATCTACACAATTCTTATTGTCTTATGACTGGAGCTGGATGTGGTCCAGATTGGCCTCCCTCATGTGTCTAGAAGTTAACAGGCTGGTTGATCTGGGGGAAAGAGCTCAGCTGGGGTGATTGTTTTCTCTTCCACAGCATCTCTTCTCCTCCAGTCAGCTGCCCCAGGTGTTTTCACTTGATGGTCTCAGCTCAATACAGCAATAAGAATGCAAGTCTCCGTGCATAAGTTATCACCAAATCTCTGCTTGCATCACATTTACTGATGTCCCACTTGCCAAAGCAAGTTAAAAGGTCAAGATCATATACAAGGCATGGAGGTATAGACTCACCTCTTGATAGGGGGCTGCAAGTCCATTTGGTCAAGAGAAACTTATGGCCACTTTTCCAAGTCACTATAAGAATCTTGCATTATGCTTGGCACACAGTAGGTCATCAAGAATGTTAATTGCAAGAATTAAGAGGTAAAGTCTATTCAAATACTTCTCTTGTCTACCACTCCATCTCTCAGCACATCTAGACCTGTGCATTCTTTTCACTGTTGGGATCTTTGAACTGGGCTAAAACTGAATCTAGTGGTTTGGAAATTAATATGGATGGTGCTTTTCTGAGAGATATTGGTTATCTTGGACCTAACCATTTCTGATGCTGGAGTTCTTCATACCTTGCTGAATTGTGCATTATGTCCCCACTCAGTCTACTGTTTGAACTGATCAGGAAAAGGGAAAACCTTTTGTCTACCACAGTATGGTCAGCCTTAGCTAGTGGCACCTCCTTCTGCAAGTTGCTACCATCTGGAGCCCCCTCATAACTTCTTCCTGCCTAGCTCCACTCAAGGTGGGAACCTCATCAAAAAATTCTGGTAGAATCCAGAACCTTCCATGGGAGAGTTCTAAACATAGTGGAAAGCTAGAGGAGGAAGGGGGAGGAATAAACAACAAAAACAATAATTTTTTAAAACTACCGTTTAGATCTCATAGCTGCTGAGTTCTTGCTTGCTTTACTGTGACTTTGCCCAGAGAAAAGGCAAAACAGCAACATAAAGATTGTCCATATAAAAAAGATCCATATCATCATGAGGCACGTGCTGGTGAGTGAGGAGCAGCGACAATCTCACTGAATAAAAATGGTGGAGTTGGAAAAGGGGAGAGAGTCTTCGGGCTTGATCAGTTCATCAAGGGCCTGGTAAGTCCCCGCCACAAAGCCCACAAAGCCCAGGATGCTGATGAGGGCGTCCTTGGCGATGGTGAGGGCATTCATGCCCTCTGAATAGTAGGTGGTGATCTCCAGCAACGGGGGGATGATGAGGGCCAGGGCACTGCTGCTCACGGAGCCCACCAGGGAGAGGACCAGGTCCAGGCGGGGGACAAGGACGGCCAAGATGCCTATGGGAGATGATAGGGATGGAGATGGAGAAGCTCAGGCTTAGCCAAGCTTTTAGAGTTTATTCTTAAAATTCTCTTCTAAACAAACAAACCAGACGTTTCTCAGAAAGTAAGTTATAGAAGGTAAAATTTGAAAGTCTTCTTAGCACCTCTAATAACACTCGTTAGAGGCTATACATTAAAAAATTTCGTATGTCTCCTCCCAGTTTTTCAAATATATGCACTCATGTTGTTGGAAGAAAAAAATGTTTTCTCTACTAACTTAGATTCAGTGGTAGGTGGTCTGCAAATTTAACTAACGACAAAGAGATTAGCAAGAGAAAAAAAAACCAGCTTATTTATGACCCCAGAAACTTCATATGCATTAGCTTTCAGACCAGCCAAAGACATGGATTTAGGTAACCATTTAATAAGAACTGGAAAGTTTGACAGTTCCTGAGAGGTTTTTTTAAGCAGTTTTATCTGTTCCAGTGACAATGGTTAGTCTCTGGTATAAAACTCCTAGAGAGAGACTTATGAAAGTTGTATTTTTCAGGTTGTCCCACTGAAGTCAGCAAAAGAAGTTGAGATAATGCTAATTTCTGCAGCTTCTGTTTGTACAAATGTTTTTAGCTTAAAATAATCCACATGCCACTGAAGTGCACATTTTTAATGTTAGCCCAAATTTATGCATCCTTAGGCAGGTCAAAGCTGTGGTCAGATTGGACCCAATGGCTGCCCAGTTTCAATGTCTGCCTTGGAGGTGAAGGGTGCTGGCTCTGGCTTAGATGACTTGGGTTCAGATCCCACTTCTGACATTTACTGTATAATTATTGATTACCTGCTGCCCCAGTTTCCTCTTTTGTAAAGTGGGGCTTAGCACAGTCCTATTTTATGAGAGTTCTCATGAGGACTGAATAAAATATCATGAAATATGAACTAGAAGATGCTTACTTAGCACAGTGCCTGGCACATGGTGTTCAATCAATATCTTCTGATTATTTGATAAGCTGCTGTCATTTCCTTTGGTTTGTTAGTGGGGTTGTTCTTGAGACTTAAAAGAGTTAATACAGGTAAAGCTTAAGTACAGCCCCAGAAATACAGTAAGAGATTAATAAGTGCTGGTTTTCATGACTATGCTCTAACATTTGACTGATTCCTGATAAATTTCAAGCAAAGGTTGACAGGAACATTTTGCTCTGTTTTCTACTCACATGTCAGGCAGACGAGGGCAAAGCGCATGGACAGGTCCACAAGCAGTGACCAGCGCTTTGACACCCGGGAGACGGTAAAGGGGATGATGATTTCTGCAGGGACATAGAACTGCAAGGCGTAGGTACACAGGATTCCAATGATGTAGAGGAGCTTGACCGACTGGTATAGCCTGCAAGACAAGCCAGAGTCATGCTCTCCACGGCCACTTCACTTGGACACCTGGGCTCCTACAAGTATTAGCCTCTGATCTTGGGACAATCCCTTGAGCTCCTGTTGCCCTATCTGAAAATGATGGAGAGGAACCTTCTAAGAATCCAGAGGAAATTACACCAGATCCTGCAGTAAAACTAGAGTGAAGCATAATGGATTCAGGTGGAAGGGTCGTCTCTAGATGAAATGTAAAGAAACTTGAGTACGTTTATATGAACAGTACCTTTACCAACCACTTGATGCGTTTCAGATTTTAGGAAAGAGAGGCTCAGGCCAGATACCTTTCCCAGGGAGAAAATCGATTCGTGGCTAAGACCAAAAAGTTCTGGTCTTTAGACTCTCGTGGTTTGTGATCTGTCAGCCCTCAGGAATTCTCTGGATCCCTCAAAGTTCTTGGAACATAACAGGCCCTCAACAAATACTTCTGGTTGGTTAGGGAACTACAGAATGCCAAATACTTGGGGGAAGATACAGTTTACAAGTGGAGTTCTACAAAGTCTAGGGGTGGGTGGGGAGGTCAATTAAAGGAAAAATGAGGTCATCTGCAGACTTTGAGCTAGGGGCAGAGAGAGGCCTCAGGAAAGGTTGAGTTCCATCAAGGTTTTGTTTGACCTGTGGAAATTTGAGTACTTCCCTTTCATCCACTAATGTTGTAGATCCATCGCACATGTTTAAGAAGTGTGTGTGTGTGTTTGTGTACACGCGTATACCCTCACAAGCATGCAGATGCTCACATTCGTGTGTGTGTGTGTGTATGTGCAAGTGTGTGTGTGTTTAGGCCACTCCTTTAAAAGGCTAAATTCCACGTTTCTGTGTTTCTTACACTAGTCCTGCTTCCAAGAACACCCTGTTTACTCCATTTTCAGTGGTTCAAACCCCACTGATATTTTGAAATTCCTTTCTTTTAATCAGGTACCACGAGCTGGATGCTTTTAGATACACCATCCAATGTGTATTAATCCCCATGGCAATCTGCCTTATCGATGAGAACATTGAGAGGAGTTAAGTTAATCATCCATGAAGACTAGCAAGTAGTCTACTGGGACTTGGCCCCAGGGGCACCAGTGTGGTCTCATTGGACAACTGCTTTCCCCGCTGTCTCATTCTGGTGTGCCTTCTTTCCTCAGAAGTCCCCAGGCCTGTCTGCTGCTCTGGAAATCTTCCTTTCCTGGTGTATGGAATAGTTTGCAAAAGTATACTACCTACCACTGCCATTGGATGGATCATAAGCTACTGAAGCTAGTGAAGCTCCAAGATCATTGTCCACACTTGTTTACAACCCCATGTATCTAGACTGGCATCTGTGTATAATTAGCACACAGTAACAGGTTGATGAATAACATTTATCACCTTGGGAAAAGGAGCCCCAGTTTAAGCAAATTAACTATCTGCTTTAAAAAAAAAAGACACCCTATTATTAATGTCATCATCCTTTTGGGGACAAAATGCTGCAAAATGTGGCTTCATGTGGCTATTTAAACATGGCACTGTTGAAGTCTGCAGCATCTAATTCCATGAATTGGGGCATATTTAGACAGAAAATTTTTACAGATTACAATGGTCCCACCAAGTTGGTTCTTGTTCTGCACTTTTTCTTATCCTAGCCACCCTGACTTGTGATGTGTACCATCGGCTGAGGCAAGCAAGACTTGGCTCCACATCCTAGTGAATAGCATTGGAAGAGTTGCCACCTCCTGACTGTTCTCTGCCTCTCACCTTCCTCCAGTACTCCTCCCTTAGGTGACCCAAGACTCTCACTTCCATTCTTTCTTCTTAAAGCATGTCCTCCTTCACACTGAAATATCAAGGCCTAACAATGTGGGAAGCTCTTGTTGAAGAAGGAACACTGGAGCCCAAGGTTCCAGTAACAACTCCACTTCTCCATGAGGGAGTTTCTCTAGACTTTGGTGTGTTCCAGTTGTAGAAGGGAAGTGGAAGAGATCTACACGCTCCCATCCATCCCTCAATCCCCACCGCCTATGAAGGTACCAGCAATTGGGCAGGTTAAGGGTTATGCTGGCCTTGATGTCATCCCCAAAACGCAGGTATCCCAGAGTTCCAATGCTGGTGTACAGGGCGGTGACGATGGACAATCCCAAAGACAGGATGGCTGGGAAGCGGCTGGCATCCTTCATCTTGTTTTCCAGAGGCAGGACCTACAAAAATATCACAGTGTAAAGAGGAAGGAGGAAGGGGAAAAAAACATGAACATAAAGAAGAGAGTGCCATGCCACTTTTGGGTTTATATCCAAAAGAATTTAGAAGCAGCACAATAAAGGATAAATCATCAGCACTATTTTACAGCTCAAACAGAGGCTAAGATAGATGAAATAATCTGCCCAAGAACCCTTGGATAGTAAAAGACAAGAGACTGGATTTAAGTTATATCTTACTATGGAAGTAACTGTCTAGTTTTGAATTTTAGCATCAGAAGTGATACATAGTAAGCCTCTACTGCATTGCATCCCGTTTTTAGGGATGGTGACCTACAGGTCAAGTCCTCAGCTTAAATTCTCGGTTGCTGACTCATGAGAACTTAACCAAGCCACTCAGACTCTGTACCTCATTTTCCTTAATGGCAAAATGGGATAAAAAAAAAAATATCTGACTTAAGAAACAAAGAATTTGGAAGCAGGGAGTTCAAGAGATATCTGTACTCTTGTTCATGGCAGTATTATTCATTATAGGCAAAGGACAGAAACAACCTAATTGTCCATCAAGAGAAAAAAATGTATAAATAAAATGTTCTAGATCCATGCAATGAAATATTACTCAGCCTTTAAAATATAGGAAATTCTTTTTTTTCTTCCTTTTTTTGGTACTGGGAATTGAACCTAGGGGTGCTCAAACACTGAGCCACATCTCCGGTCCTTTCATATATTTTATTTAGAGACAGAGTCTCTCTGAATTTCTTGGGGCCTCACTAAGTTGCTGAGGCTGGCTTTGAACTGGTGATCCTCCTGCCTCGTCTTCCAGAGCCACTGATATTACAGGGGTGTGCCACCATGCCTGGCCAAAATGTAGGAAATTCTGACACATGCCACAACATGGATGAACTTTGAAGACATTAGGCAAAGTGAAATAAACCACAAAATGAGATACCATGTAGTTCCATGTTATGAGGCACCTGTAGTAGTCAGTAACAGAGAGAGAAAATAGAATGGGGGTTTTCCAAGGGCTGGAAGGAGGAGGGAATGGGAGTTATTATTTTGTGAGTTCCAAGTTTCAGTTTTACAAGATGACAGATTTCTGGAGATGGATGGTGGTCATGGTTACCTAACAATGTGATTGTAGTTACTACCACTGAACTGTACACCTAAAAGTGGTTAAGGTGGTAAGTTTTGTGTTAGGAATATTTAACCACAATTAAAGGGAAAGGTGAAATATAGAGGAGGGGGAGGGGAGGAGAAAGAGGGAGTAGAGGAAAAGGAATAGCAAGAGTGGGGAAAGAGGGGGAAGAGTGGGAAAAAGAAAAAAGAGAGAGGCCTAAGTCAAGTCACAAGATGATGGGGACCACTATGAGCTGGAAAGACTCCTCAGGTTATCCAGATAAAGGATCTCAGCAACCTGCGACAGCTAGATCTCGCCAGCAGGTGCATCTTATTTAGACAGCTTAGTCCTTTATTTAGTTTTGATAACATGTATTTATTGTATATATTAATGGAGTTCAGTGTGATATTTCCACACATACTTACAAAGTGCACTGGTCAAACCCAAACCTCCCTTTTCCCACCCCTCCCCTTCCAATCTCTAGTAATCACTCTTATATTTTCAGGTTGACTTTTTTTTTTTTTAACGTACATGTATGAGAACATAGAGTATTTGTCTTTCTCTGCCTGGCTTATTTCATTTAACATAATTACCTCCAGTACCACCCATTTTGCTGCAAACGACAGGATTTCATTCTTCTTTATGGTTGAATAATTCTTCATTGTGTGTGTGTGTGTTTTCTTTATCCATTCATTGGTTGAAGGGCACCTAGGTTGATTTCACTATCTTAGCTATTGTGAATAGTGCCACAGTAAAACACAGGGTGTAAAGGTGTCTCCTTGGTATGCTGATTTCATTTTCTTTGGGTATGTACCCAAAAGTGGAATAGCTGGATCATATGGTAGATCTATTTTTTTTTAATTTTTTGAAGAAACTTCATACTGTTTTCCATAGTGGCTATACTAATTTACATTCTCAGCAAGAGTGTGTAAGAGTTTGCTGTTATCCCCATCCCCCAGCATTTGTTATTATTATTTCTTATAATAACTATTCTGAGATGATACTTCTTAGTTGGTTTTGGTTTGCATCTCCCTGATGGTTAAGGATGTTTTTTCACACATTTATTTGCCACACATCTATTTCACACATTTTTCTGTACTATTTCTTTTGAGAAGTATCTGTTTAACTTATTTATCTGTTCTCATTTTTTTGCATTGGTTTACTTGTTCTTTTTTTTAAAAAAAGTTTTTGTAGTTATAGATGGACAGAATACCTTTATTTTACTTTTTTAATTTTTATATGGTGCTAAGGATAAAGCTCAGTGCCTCACACATGACAGGCAAGTGCTCTGCCACTGAGCTATATTCCCAGCCCTTTCTTGTTCTTTTGATTTTAAGTATTTTGAGCTCTTTATATATTCTGGATATTAATCCTCCATGTGATGAATAGCTAGCAAATATTTTCTCCCATTCTATAGGTTCTCTCTTTGCTCTGTTTCCTTTGTGGTGCAGAATCTTTGTAATCCTATTTTTCAATATTTGCTTTTGTTTCCTGTGCTTTGGAAGTCCTATTTGGAAAATCATTGTTGTGTTGTCTTCTAGAAGTTTTGAAGTTTCAGGTCTTATGCATTTGACCCACTTTGAGTTGATTCTTGTATAGGGTGATAGATAGGGGTCATGTTTCAATTTTCTCCATGAAGATATTCAGTTTTTTTCCAGCACTATTTATCGAAGAGATGGTCCCTTTTCCAGTGAATGTTCTTAGTGCCTTCGTTGATAATTATTTGGTTGCAGATATAAAGGTTTGTTTCTGGGATGTCTATTCTGTTCTACTGGATGATGTGTCTATTTTTATGCCAATAAAGTTTTATTTCTAGTTCTATGAAAAATAAATCCACTGGTATTTGGACAGAGATTGGATTGACTCTATATATAACTTTGGGTATTATGGATATTTTACTGATATTAATTATGCTAGTCAAAGAACATAAGAGGTTTTTCAACTTTTTTGTGTGGTCTTCTCCAATTTCTTTCATTCATATTTTATAATTTTCATTGTAGAGGGCTTTCATTTCCTTAGTTAAGTTTATTCCTAGATATTTTCTATTTTTGTAGCTATTCAGAATGGGGTGGCTTTCATGATTTGTTCCTAAGAAAATTCATTATTGGTGTATAGAAAAGCTACTGATTTTTGTGCCTTGATTTTGTATCCTGCTATCTTATGGAATGTGTGTATCAGTTTTAATGGGTTTTTGGTGGAAATATTAAGCTTATCTATTTATAATGTAAACAGGGATAATCTGACTTCCTCTCTTCTTATTTGTACTTTTTATTCATTTTTCTCACCTAATTTCTCTATCTAAAACTCTTAGTCCCATATTAAATAAGAGCAGTTAGAGTGGACAGCCTTGTCTTCTTCCTGATCTTAGAGAAAATGCTTTAGCTTTCCACCTTCAGTGTCATGCTGGCTGTGGGGTTGTCATATATATCCTTTATATTCTTCTATAATTTGTTCATGGCTTTTTATTGTGAAGGGTGGTCAAATTTTATCTGATTCTTTTTCTGCATCTATTTAGATGATCATATGATTTTTATTCTGCTTTTTGTTGATGTATATTGAACCATCCTTGCATCCCTAGGATAAAACCAACATTATCATAGTGGATGATCTTTTTGATGTGCTGCTGAATTCTGCTAGTATCATATTGAGAGTTTTGCATCTGTATTCATCAGGGATATTGGTCTAGAAGTTGTTTGTTTGTTTGTTTGTTTGTGTGTGTGTGTGTGTTTTCTTGTCTGACTTTGGTAACCTGGCCTACGCTGGACTTCCAGAATAAATTTGAAAAGGTTCCCTCCTTTCAATTCTACAGAATTGTTTGAGAAGTATTGGTGTTAGTTTTTTCTTTAAAAGTTTGGTAAAATTTAGCAGCCAAGTTGCCCAGTCCTGGGCTTTTCTTTGTTCGAAAATTTTATTACTGTTTCAATCTCATTGCATGTTATTAGTTTATTCATGTTCAATCTCATTGCATGTTATTAGTTTATTCATGTTGATGTATATTGAACCATCCTTTGGTTCAATTTGGATAGGTTATATATGTCTAGAAATCTGTCTTTTCCTTCTAAATTTTCAATATATTAGCATATAGTTATTCATGATAATCCCTAATGATTCCTTGTACCTTTGAAGTATTGATTGTAATGCATCCTTTTTCATCTCTTATTTATATTTTCTCCCTTTTTCTTGGTTTGTCTAGATGAAGGTTTGTCAATTCTGTTTATCTTTTCAAAAAACCAACTATTTGTTTCATTGATTATTTTTGTGTTTTTTTAGTCTCTATTTCTGTCCTGATCTGTTATTTAGATTAAGTTGGGGTTTGGTTTGTTCTTCCATTCCCAAGTCCCTAATAAGCATTAGGTTGCTTATTTGAAACCTTTCATTTTTAAATGTTGACACTCAATACTATGAACTCCCCTCTTAGGACTGCTGCATCCCACAAGTTTCAGTATATTGTGTGACCATTTTCATTTGGTTTGTAGAAATTTAAGTCTTCCTTCTGACTTCCCCAATGGCCCACTGTTCACTCAAAGTATGTTGTTCAGTCTCCATGCATCTGTATAATTTCTAAAATGCCTTTTGTTGTTAACTTCTAGTTTTATTCTATATTATTTAAAAAAATAAAAGACATGACTTCATTTTTTAAAAAATTTGTGATGATTGCCTTATGACCTCATGTAACGGTCATTCTAGAGGAAGTTCCACGTGCTGATGAAAAGATGATACGCATGTGTATTCTGTAGCTGTTGGATGGAGCGTTCTGGAAATGTCCATAAAGTCCATTTGATCTATAGCGTAGTTTAATTCTTTTGTTTCTTTGTTGATTTTTTTTATCTGGATGATCTGTCCACTGGTGAAAGTGGGGCATTGAAATCCCCCATTATTATTCTAC